CAGGAAGACTTGAGTTCCAATCCAGCCTCAGACAACAGCTGTGTGACCATGTGCAAGTCTCTTAACTTCTGTTTGCCTCAGTTTCCTCAGCTTTAAAAATGAGGATAATAATAGTACCCACCTCCCAAGGTTCTTGTGAAGATTAAATGAGAATAATTGTAAACAACACTTAGCACAGTGCCTGGTGCATGGCAGACACTGTGGAAAAGCTTCTCCCTTTCCCTCTTCTTTATATAAGCTTTACAAGAACTCACTCTCTGTCAGTGGATTTTGTAATTGAGAACAGATTAGATTTATTCGTTTTATTTTCCAAGGAAATAACTAATCATAGAATTGTAGAGATAGAAGGGAACCTCCAGATTACGCTTAACTCTAGGTAGAAGGAAGGGTTATTTTGTGGAATTCGGGATAGAACGTAAATTCGTTTTTCAGATCTTGCCAGAATTCTACCCATTTCTGAAAAAAGAACAATGATGCTTTGCATTTGAATAATACATTTTTCAAAATGTTTTCTCATTAGATTAATAGGAAAAAAATGCTACAACTTTCCTTGATACCCTATTTCAGTTTTTTACAATCTTATGATTTTAGTCTGTGTTTTCTTGTTCTTTCTTCAGTAGAGGCAGCCAGGTGGCATAACAGAGAGAATGTTGGTCTCGTAGTCAGGAAGACCTGAGTTCAAACGCCACCCCAGCTATGTACTTGCTGTGTGGCCTTGGGCAAATTCCTTATCTGTAAAATGGGGATAATAGTAGCACCTGCTTCCCAGGGATGTTGAGAGGATTGATTGAGACAACACATACAAAAAAAGCTCCTATAAAGTGCTGAGTGCCATCATCATTATCATCAGTATTATTATCATAAATGGTTAACTAGCAACTCACTGCCCTTTGTGTATCCTGGCATATTTTAACTACGAACTAAAGCAGGGCTTCTCAGTTTAAGTCCCTTAGCTTTTCATTCGAGACCTCCTTTGTCAGCCTGTAAATCATTCCATTGCTCTTAGATTGTGTGGCCATAACTGTATGCAGCATTCTGAGAAAAACCTTGCCATTGCTGTAAAACAGGAGAGGCATGCTTCCTCAGCTTCCATTTAATTAATTTCTGCTTACAGTTGGGAATGTCTCTCCTGAATTTGCATAAGGATACCCATTTAGTGTCTGGAAATAAGAGTGATATGGTTTCCTTTTGTTTTGGGCTCAATTCCTGAGGTTTGATACTAATTATTTAATGAATTAGTGATGAAATTAAAAATAGAACGCATGTTAGTGAAAGGATATGGGACACAGCCATAATTTTAAAAGACTCCAGTTGATGATAATGATTGTGGCAGAGGAAGGAAGCAAAAAAAAGGAGATTAGGAATTTCAGGTTTTAGGTTCTCAGCTACAATAGCCACAAACATTTATTAAGCATTTACTGCTGACTTCACTCAGGGGAAGATGTAGAACATTTTGGGCCCTTCACATTCATCTTGTTCCTTTTTTTTTTTTTTTTTTTAATTTAAACCTCTATTGCTTCCATCTCGAAGATGAATTGGAACGGTAGATGAAATATTGGGGATGGGACTAGAGAAGTGCATTTTTTGAGATTCCTGAAAGAAAAGTCTAAATTACTTCTGTTATTATTTTAAGAATAACAAAAAAATTATCATTTATATAGCTCTTAAAGGTTTGCAAAGCATTTTACATATATTATCTCATTTTATTCTCAAAACAACCCTGAGATGTATGTGCTATTATGCCCATTTTACAGGTGAGGAAACTGAAGCAAATAGAGGCTAAATAACTTACTTGTCTTGGTCACCTGTCTAGTCAACATCAAAAGTGAAATTGAAACCCAGCTGCCCTTGGACTCCCAATCTAGTATCATATTGGAGTTTAATGACCTGAGTTCCAATCCTGCGTTCTGCTACTTACAAGATATGTAACTATAAATCAGTTGACTTTTCTGAGTCTCAGTTTTTTCATCCATAAAATGGGGAGAATGATGCCTTTCCTACTTAACTGTAAACAGTATGTATAACTCATACAGTATGTAAAATTCATGTAATACCCCAGGTACCTGGGATAAATTCAGTTGGTGAGGTTAAGACAGATTTCAGATAGATCATGCGTGTTTAAGAGGTTGAGTGAATGTGAGAGCAGGGTATTTAATAAAAAGGGGGAGGAGTTAGAGTGGTGAGTGTTCTGAAGACCTCATGAAGTGCCACATGTTAAGCATTCTGTAAGCATGTTGTTGAGAACTTAATACCGTAATAGTATGGCACGAATGTCATAGTTTTCCAAAAAGGGAAGAGAATGGCGTCTGCAAACTATTGGGCAATAAGCTTTGCTTGGGTTCCTAACAAAATTCTAGACTGCATTAATTAATGAAGAGATAGTAAAACATCTAGAAAAGGAAGTCTATCTTACAGGGGGCCTACATCAAGAATGGGACATGTCAGACTAATTTAATTTCCTTTTTTTCCCTCACAAAACTTTACTAGACTGTTAGGTCAGGAGAATGCTGTTGAATAATATTTACCTGTGTTTTAGCAGAACATTTGATAAAGTCCCTAGGTGATGGTATAGTTGGGAGAATTCGGAACTGGTGTAATGGACCTAAAGAGTGGCCTTTAAGGGTTCAGGGTCAGCTTGGGAGGTGGTTCCTACTGGTGTACTCCTGCGACCTGTGTTTGTTCCCATGATCGTAAGAGTCAGGACAGTATACGAGTGAAGCAGCATGGGACATGGGACTTGAAGTCAGGAAGACCTGGGTTCAAATCCAGCCTCAGATACTTAATAGCTTTATCACCATGGACAAGTCACTTACCCTCTCCCTGCCTCAATTTCACCATCTTCCAAAGTCGTTCCTAGTTCTCAATTTGTGATCCTTTGTCATTCTTATCAATGTGTTGGGTACAGACACAGATAACATACTTAGCATATTTACAGATAACACAAAGCTGGGAGGGATAGTTAACACAGTGGATGACAGATTCAGGATCTACCAAAATCTTCAGACTAAACTCAGAAACAGACAGATTTAATTGTGTAAGTTTTTCAGGGATAAAAAATAAGTCTTAAACTTATTGAAAAAAATTCGCTGCCAACAGTTAGTAAATAATAGGTGCCTCAGTCCTGTAGTCCAAATGGCACTGCTTTGGCCACATTTACAACACACTTTGTTTAACCGTACATACATATATACATACATGCCATACGTGTGTAACTATTGATTTTTCATACTTTTTTTTTACAAAAATATGACTATCAAAATAGCTAACTATAAGAAGCAATAAACAGTACATAATGTTAGAAGGCAAATGTAAAAAAGATAAAAATAACCAGATACAATTCAGTACCTTTTATCAACTGTTTTAATTTCTACAACTCTAATCTTATACACATACTTTAATTTGAATTTTCGTTTCAAAATCCCCCTAAAATCTTAGCTTAGAATCTGAAGCTCTCCTTGAGCTATATGAACACCTCCAGGCCTTTAAGTCAGCGTGGCATCAAATCTCCAAGCTGTTTTCCTCAATTGCAGTATCTTTGGTTTCTCTAACAAAAAATATTTTCTGTGACTTCTTTGTGCTAATCATAAGATCCTCTTGGTTGTCTTTTCTAACATTCCTCTCTGTTGGCTCCTTTCCCTTTAGCTCCATGTGTCAAATTTTGAAAGATACAAATATAGACAGAGATACGTACACCTATGCACATACATGTACCTATATACAAGTATGTACATGACATATCTCCTCAACTTGCTTTGTCTAGGTTCCTTTGAAATGGAAGGAAGTAATTTGGGAGTTTTATCTTTAAGAAGATTAAAACAACTACCACCCCACCAGCTTTCCAGCCGAATACTACTAACTACATGTAATTTTAAATGTATATGTTTAAATGTAGTACTTCTATCAGCATTACCTTACCTGAGACAGTAGCTTGGTATAAATGGGGGGGGGGGGCATTAGAATCTTTTCATCAAAGCCTGAATCTTTTATGTAGAATGTAACATTTTAAACAACAAACATAAAAACAGAGTTTTTAACAGACTTTTGAAAAGGTTTTGTGACAGACAGCTACTTTAGAGAGACACCTCTCCTACTGGACAAAGCTGAGACTGAAGGTGAATAGCGCTGAGTCTGGCTCCTGAGCTCAGTCCCTTAGCTCGCTTTCTCGCCTTCATGAACCAGTAGAACGTGGAGCCACTGTCTGGGATCAGAGAGTCATCAGAGCTGGGAGGGGCCTCCGGCCTCCTTGCTTTATAGACGCGAAACTGAGGCCCAGGGAGATTAAATGGCTTGCCCAAAGCGAACCGTGCAATGAATTCCAAGTAAAAATGTATTCGCCACCTTTGTTAACTTATCTGCCGATTCTCTCCATGAAACATGCTAAAATATCCAGCGTTACACAAAAAGCCAGCATGAGTCAGTGTTGTCCCCCCAGTTTTGTATGAGGAGGGGTCATAACCCTAGAGCTGGGATGGACCCGGGAGGCCGTGGAGCCCCGTCCCCTCATTTGACAAGCGAGAAGACTCAGGTTCAGAGAGTTTGTCGTTTGGGCTGAGGTCCCACAGGTGGTAAATGGTAAAGCCACACAGCCCTAGTCCTCGACTCTTCTGTAACCCTCCATGTCTTGTATGTGATACCTTTAATTTTTTAACATAAGCCGGTGGAAGAAACTCTTGTCTAGGGTGTGTGTCACTTCACATAAACTGCACATGAATTTTGCCTGCATCTGAGTTGTGTTTTTATAAAACTATCTTTTATAAGCCAGTGTGTCGCATGTTATTTCTCTGACTTTTTCAGCCAAATACCAAAAATCTTCCAAGTGATCTCTTTAACTAAAAAATTTGGTTTTAGTAACTCAACTAGTCTGATGTAGTCTCCCATGTCTCTGCTTTTCTATGCTTATGTTTGGGGATGAGTGATTGTAGTACCGTGAAATACATATTATATAACTTTATTCCCCCATTGTACAGTGACTTCATTCACAGTTTTCTTTATGTGTGCAGACGATCCGCCGTTGCCCGAATTCAGGAACTCTTCAGGCGGAGAAAAGAGAGGAAAGAGATGGAAGAGCTGGACACTCTGAACATTAGGAGGCCCCTAGTAAAGATGGTGTACAAGGGTCATCGCAACTCCAGGACGATGGTACTGAGTGCTCATTGAATTCTTTGGAGAGATGTGCAATTTCATGTTTTGGATTAAAACAGTTTGTTACCCTGTGCATGTTTAAACTGTAAAAACTGTCCTGGCTGGGGCTCAGGAGGGGTTGCACAAAAGGTAAGCAGCAAAGTCCAGGGGAAAGGAACTTTGCCACTGAACTTGGAGTCGTCGTGGCTGTCCCTTGAAGCCCTGAGTGCATCCCTTCATCTCTCTGGGGTTGGTTTCCTCATATTTAAAAATGAGGTTGGACCAGACGGCCTCTAGGGTCCCTTCTCCCTCTGCATCTCTCTGATTCTCTGGTTCTATAGGCATGAAATATTTCATAAAGTAATAATAGTTATATTTGTATAACGCTAACATTCACAACACGCTTTACTCACAGCAGCCTTAGGGCGTAGGTAATGAAAGTATTAGGATCCTTACTTTACCAATAAGGAAACTAAACCTCAGGAAGGTGATTAAATGACTTGCTCAAAGTTGTACAACTAATGAGTGTCAGCCAAAATCTGAACCCAGATCTCTCGACTCTTAAGACTTTTCTTTTTCCAGTACACCATGCTGACTCTCAAAAAAATGTATTTTTTTGCCCCAAGGAATTGTTTATATATTTTTAAATTTTAGCCTTTGTAAATTGTAAGTGACCTTTGAATTCTGAACTACAGTGCAGAAGTTTGATCATAGTTGCTTTCTTTGAGCTGATTAAAAAAAAGAGAATCTCAATAACTTTTCCAGTATTTTATATTGCTTTATAAATGGAAGAATTTTTTTTTATTTTTTAAATTTCACTTCCTTTCTATAATGATTGTTGTTGTTTGGTCATTCAGTTGTGTGTCCGACTCTTCATGACCCTATGGACCGTATCATGCCAGTAATGTTGATGTCTGTTTGTTTGTTTGTTTGTTTTTGGCAAAGATACTGAAGTAATTTGCTATTTTCTTCTCCAGTGGATTAAGGCAAATACAGGTTAAGTGATTTGCCCAGGGTCACAGAGCTAGTTAGTGTCTGAGAGCAGATCTGAACTCAGGTTTTCCTGACTCTAGGCTCAGCCTCAATCCACTTAGTCATCTAGATACTCAGCTGCTAATCATATGTTTGGTGCTTTTCATCTATTCTATTTCATCTATTACCATAAAGCAAAACTATAAAAGATGCCAGTCCATGCTTCTGTATTTGAATAGCTCAGAAAACGATACCATCTAGATAAGGCAGATAAAAATGGAAGTGTTGTTCTAAACCATCTTAGCATTAATTACTTGTCAGTCTTTTCCCCCCACAAATGGTCTCTAGTATTGTGTCAGCTAACATGAGTTGATTGGAAATCTAGCAAAGATCTATGTAAATTATTCCCATACTGCTGAAAGCCCAGAAGCCTATGCATCTGTCTCCCTGCTTTATCGTCAGACTGCTTGCTGCTGATAACTTCCTGTTTTGAATATAAGAGACAGGGCAAAATCTCAAACAGCTTTTTAATGTATTTCTTTTTCCAAATCAACATTTTATTTTTAATTTGGGAATTAACTTAAATGTTGGTTTCCTTGTCTTTGATATTATTGTTCTTGCCATCATGTAATTGACCTTTTTTTTTAAACCTATAGATAAAAGAAGCCAACTTCTGGGGCACTAATTTTGTAATGAGTGGCTCCGATTGTGGCCACATCTTCATTTGGGATCGCCATACTGCTGAGCATTTGATGCTTTTGGAAGCTGATAATCATGTTGTGAACTGCCTACAGCCACATCCATTTGACCCAAGTAAGATAGTTCTCTGCTAGAAAGACTAATTATTTAATGAGCTTGAAATTTTTCATAAGATACGTTTCAAACTTTCACTAAGTGAAAATAATAATAATAACATATATTAAACTCACTGGATTAGAAGTGATTCCAGTTTACTTTATACAACAAATATCCATAGTGAAAAATACAGAGAAACTGACAGAACTTATTTTTATGAAATTTGTTCCTAGTTTTAACGCGTCTAAGAGGTTTCAAATGGTTGAGCTTTTAAATACTCACCCAAATTGAGCCTTTAAGACTTACTTCTGCCTTCACAAATCTTCATGCATCCTAATGAGAAAGCAGTTAACCACCTTTTGACTTTCATGTAAAATAGTTTCTCTTTTTAGGAATAAACTATGGATAGGGGAAAAAGGAAAAAGTTGGGAGGAGGTTGAAGGGAGATGAAATAAATGCTTGATGATTTAAAAAAAAAGTTAGGTGATTTAAATGTGACCTTGAAATTATATCCTCAATAATTTCAAAACTCTAAACATCAGAAGATAATTGTGTCAGTAAAATGTATTAACATAATTTTCAAATATGTAATTAAAGTTCACAAGGCATATTTTCAAGTTTTACACTAATACATAAATTTATTTCTAGTTCTGGCTTCATCTGGCATAGATTATGACATAAAGATTTGGTCACCCCTTGAAGAGTCCAAGATTTTCAACCGAAAACTTGCTGATGAAGTAAGACTTTTAGTTTTTCTTTTCTCTTGAAAAGGCTGAGTAGCACATTTATTAACTAGTAAAATGAAGCAAGTTAATTATATTAGTGCACATAGACATTTTTTGAGATGAAAAAAGAATTCAGGTAAAACTCTAATAATAAAGACCAATAAAATCAAAACAGACCTCTTTACTAAATGTAATGTTGCTATAACTTGCATTTAGGCATTTACTGAAATAAAGAATCATAAAAAAATCATGTAATCTTTTAAGCGTAAGGCATTTGGAAATAAGCTGTTATTTGTAATTATTTATATTTAATTTTTCCAATATGTTTTTTATTCTGTTTTTGTTTTAAAATAGAGGAACCATAGTGGGGGATAAAAGAGTTTGCAGAATCTTCTCTGTCATGAAATAATCTCTTGATGAAGTTTTCTGGTACTAAACTCTAGAACAGTTAGACAGCCTAATGTGCTGTACCAGTCACCTCTCTCCTTCCTTCTCTTTCTGTCATCCTCTTCTTTCGTTCCTTTGCTCTTTTCTGCCCTCTTCCTTTCTCCTCTTCCTTTTTTTCATTTTCTCCATGTTTATTTTGAATTAGGTTTTGCTTAACTATTGGCACAATCTTTAATTCCACTTGTGGTACTCAAGGCTTAAGAGTTCATGGCCTCTCTTGTAGAGGCTTGTTGATCAAAAGTATATAGCCCAATCACGTTAGCAATGGAGTGAAAAGGATCACTAAGATCTGTTCGTCTTTAGCCAGAATACATGTAACCGGGCATTTCATAGTTGCAGAGATGGAAGAAAACATTTACTTCAAGGCAGTTTTAGGAAATGACTACTATAATTTAACACTTGAATGTGCATAAAATTGTCAGCTATGTCTTGGGACCCAGAGAGCGCATAGGACACATCGTGTTGTCCCCTCTGGGGAATAAACTACAAAAAGTGATTGTCTAAATTTTGCCTTCAGATGGGTACAAGCAGTTCCTAGAATCAAGTTTTGCTCTTGACTTTCTGTGGTCTTTAAAGGAGTATTTGTATCTGATCTTACTACCCCCACTAAGCACTTTGGCATGAAGAAATCATTTTAATATAATCTTGGAGTTCCAGGCATTTTCTCTGTAAGCAGTGGGCTGCATTGTAAATTATCATAGGTATAATTGTGGATTTATTTTTCCAATTTCCTTAATGATTTTCAAAGTTCTATTGATAGATTATAGGTTTTAGATGTCATTCAGATCTCTTAAGCATTTCATTTACATTACAGGTTATAACTCGGAATGAATTAATGCTGGAGGAGACTAGAAACACTATTACTGTCCCAGCTTCTTTCATGTTACGAATGCTGGCTTCCTTGAATCATATCCGAGCTGGTAAGAGTCATAGAGGGAGAGGGTGGTCTCCCTGTCTTTACTGTCACCTTTATGAAATATTTTTATTACCACCATACTGTCCAAGACATAAAAGAGATCACATCCATTCTCAGCATGTTTTTATAGAGCTTTCACGTATGTAATGTATGTCTTCAGTTCCATGCCATCATATGTCCCTATAAAAACTATTTTTGAATGAAATTTCATTGAAATTTATTAAAAAAATTACAGAAAATGTATATTTGAAAGCTTTTACCAACTACCATTTCCAATGAACCAGATGGTTCAAATTTAAGGTGCATTGTGTGATACCTTTCAATAATGTATCACATTTGGTCAGACCCATCTAACTCCTCTGAAAAATCATTGCTGAAAACCAGGAAAATACAACATACCAAGCCATAGAGAAAAACCAGACACCACCTTTATTTAACCAACTTGTAAAAATTCAAGGTGATAAATTGTGAGGGTTGGTGCCCTTGTGCAACCAAAAATATATGTTACAGTCATTGTTAAATCATGAATTGAATATTTATCTTTCAGTAAAAATAAAAAAGTAAGGAGCTCTCTATTAGTGGTTATGAACCAAAGCCAACATTTTTGTGGTCGTTTTTATACTGAATAACCTGATCTGCATGGAGGTAATATGGTAGAAAGGGTACCAAATGTGGAGGAAATATACCTTGGTTTTGAAGCCAAGTTCTGCTATTACTTGTGTGACCCGGAAGTAATTCACTTTATCTTGTAGACCTCATCTGTAAAATGAGCATATGGACTAGATGATCTCTTAGGCTCTTGCAAGCTCTAAGTCAAATAACACTGTGAAATAAACTGTTTGTACATTGAGTGTTGTCATGATTGGTAGTAGCTTCATTATTGTTTGAAATCATCAGTTCATGATTCTGGGTTAAGTTTGATGCATAGATGGACAAAATAGCTTTACAAGGGGTAACATCTTTTCCCCTTCTCTCCCCCCTCCCCACCCCACACTTGCTCTTGTTTAGAGTGAATATTGTAGTGACTTCTTCATAAAATTGATATTACTAAAGAATGTGAAGATCACAGAAGTAAGAAACACTGTCAGAGGTCTAGAGTCAGACTCTGGAACAAGAAACTATTTTTTTAGTGATCATTCCATCCATCAACAAGCATTTTTTAAACATTTAAGGTTATTTTTTGTTAAGCTTTCTTTTTTCTTTCTTCCCTTTCTTCCTTCCACCTGCCGCCACCCACTGAAAAAAGAAATACAGAACCTCTCCTCCACCTCTCGCCCATCACATACACCTGCTTAAATAGAACATTCCCACATTGGTCACTTCTAAAGATGTACTTTTTTTAATTCTTCCTATGAGTCCATCATCCTCTGTCATGAAGGAGGCAGTATTCTATCTTTAGCCTTAGTCCTTTGAAATCATGGTTGGTTGCTTAGTTGATCTGAGCTTTTTTTAAAAAAAAGATTCATTTTTATAATATCAGTGTTATAGCATGTCATTCTAGCTCGATTCACTTGCCATCTGTATTAGTTCATATAGGCCTTTCTATGTGTCTTTGAAATAGTCTTTCCCCTCATTTCTCAGAGCATTAATATTCCAATAATATTCCATTACATTTATGTTCCACAATTTGTTCAGCCATTCTCCAGTTGATGTGTATCCTTTAGTTTTCCATTCTTTTGGATTCACAAAAAAACAAAAGTATTTTTATACATACAGAATCATCTCTTCTTTCTTTGATCTCTTAGGACTATAGGCTACCAGTGGTGTAACTGGGTCCAAAGGGGATGCATGGCTTAGTAGCTTTTTAGTACATAATTCCAAATTATATTCTGTCAGGGAGCCCAGTAAAGGACCCTTTCTCTGAAAATAGGCCCACACAAGTTAAATCTAATGAGACTTCATCCAGGGTCAAACTTTGCTAGTGGCTAATTGAATGACTTGTGCATGAAAGTACAGTGTTCATATTCCAGGTTCTGCTAAATGGAAAAATTTTCATTTTAAATAATCATTTTAAACAGTTTTGAAATTAAAATGCCCACAGTGGAAGCTCCTTTATTCTAGAGTCCTTTGCCTTCACTGATTCAACCATAACTCCATTGGGTTGCTTTGAATTTTTTAGATGCTATTCTCAAAGCTTTATAAGAGACATTAAAAAAAGAAGAAGAGCCTTGGGATTAGAACATAGTTTTCTTTTCCTTGGCAACTTAATAATCAGGCAAATAGTTCAGTGGTTTGAGCCAAAAAATCATGTATTGGCCTATCAAGTTCTGCTACCACAGACACTGAATAAATGAACCATTAGAACCATGAGTAGAATGTTAAAGCCAGAAAGGATTTTTGAAGTTCTCTGAATCAACTCTCTCTTTATAGATGAAGATACCAAACTCAAGAGAAATAAATGACAGAAATCAGGCGTATTTTGTATGGATTGGACTAGAGCCACCAAGGTCCCTTCCAGCTCTGAAATTCTGTGAATTCCGAACTGGTGTATCCTCTCAAAGTGAGCTCTGAGGAGCAGTGGGAGGAGTCAGATGGACCACCCTGCAATGCAGCAAGAAGATATGTAGGCCATCCACAGGAGCACCACATTGTCTTTTCCACATTAGTGGTCATAATTTAGGTAACTGAATCACAAAGGAATGTAGGCCTTGTAGACCTTCGTGTTAGGTGTTGTGGACCAGCTGTTAGGAATTCCTCAAGGGGCTCTTAACATCCCACAAGGCCCAAAAACCCAGTAGTATACCTCTGGATATTCCCTGGGGAATTGGTTCCCATTGATTGGTCCACAGAGCCAGGGGTCATGTTTATTTAAAGATTCCATCATATTGTCACAATTGTTTATAAAGATAATGTCCACCCTAGTGTTCTAATTTCATGGCTCTTCTTTAATTCCCAAAGTATGAAGGCATCGAATTAGTTTTATTTCCCATTTAAAGGTAGGTGTACCTCCTTTTCTTCTTGCTAATTGCCAACTGGAAAGTTACCAGAGTGTTCTTGAAGAAATTTGTTTTGCAATTTGGACAGCTCAGAAGAGAGGTGGCATGTTTTTTATATTGGTAATACTCAGAGAACAAGATTTCGTTCAATGTAACATTGTAAATGGCGTTCATGACCCAGATAGCACTAAAATGCAGTGATGAATAATGAGAATTGAATTTGAGGAAAAGAGCTAGTCCTCTTTTTCCTCCTTACAGAAGCATTTATGAAATGCTTACTCATGTAGCAGGAAGATTCTCATCTTAACTTATCACTCAGGAAATTGTCTTGGGGCTCTCCAAAATCCCAAGCTCTGTCACGATCTCTTCCCATTACAAAGATAGTTGGTTACCACTGGGCCAGTGAAGTTGTGACCTCGAAGTCCCATTTTGTGTGGACGAAGAATCAAAGAATGAGAGTAATATTAGCTCAAGTTTGATATAAAGCACCTTAGCCATATGCTTTCCTCTCAGTAGTCCTTGTTTTGTGGATGAGGAAACTGAGGTCCAAGACATGGAATCAAGTGTCTCGTCCGTAGTTACAAAGCTAGTGTCCAGCCTAGGACTTAAACCCGGATCTTGGGATTCCTCACCCAGCAGCCTTCCTCCTGCTTCTTAAATCTTTGATTCTGTCCTGAGACTTAACTCTTAAAAGGACCCTTTGGTGTGGTGGGAAAAGCACTCCGTGAGAGGTCTTGTCCTTGGGTCTACAGCCTCGCTGTGTGACTTGAAGCAAGTCAGTTCACCTCTCTGGGCATCAGTTTCCTCATCTGTAAAACAAGATTAGGCTTAGATGATCTCCACGGTCCATTCTAGCTCTCAAATTCTCTTGTTTTGTGATCTCAAAAATCCCTTACAGCATGTTCAGGAATCTGTATTGGTCACGTATTTTTACCAGTTCCTTTTTTACTGAGTCTGGCAGAGCATAAGGTTCTTAAGAAACTAAAAATACAATCACTCTTGTCTTGTTTGAAAGGGCATCTCAGAAAACTAAAAACCACCTTCACACATATATGTATAGCCAATTATATATTATCTTTGCTATTGGAAAAGAAACAAAAACAAGGAAAATCCAAAAGTCAATTTTTACTCATCTATAAAAAATTTACTTTGCTTCCCTTGTGGAGTAATGAGGAAAGACTTTATAAACTTTAAAGTTCTCTAGAAATTGGAACTGTGATTACTTATTTTTATGGGCATTGACAGAGCCCAGACTTAGTAGAACCCAGGGTCCCAGACTCGCATCTCACTCTACTGCATTGAGGGCTCTGCTGGTGCTCTGCTGGTGCTCTCCGGTGAATCTCAGCCATCTCTTGCCTTCAGAGAATGAATGGTTTCCCTTTCCTGTCCTGTGGAAATTCTTGCCCAGCCTGGGCTCCTCGGGGCGGTTATTGGTGAAGGTAGAAGAAGGTAGGGAAGTGCCCTTGGAGTCCAGGGAGTCATGCTAGTCTTTTTGCCCTGTAGTAACTTCTTGGTTGTTTTTTATTTATTTACACTGTTGTCACTTCCAATCATGCCCGAAATTCCAAATCGTAGATTTAGAATATGACCTCATTGGCTGCATACCTGTCAAAATAGTGTTCCTAAGGCACTATTCTTCCCCTACTCAGAAATTGTCAGTGGCTTCCTGTTGCCTGTAGAATAAATAGAAACTCCTTAAGCTGTTCTAACAGTCTGGCTATCACCTGCCTTCCAAACCGACTCCACGCTATTCGTCTTCACAAACTATATTGCAACCAAACTGGACTGAAAACTATTCCTGAAACTCCACCAAATGGCTCTTGCCTCCAAGATATCTGGAATTCCCTCATTTCTTGCTTCTTCCTTTTAGAATCCCTCACTTCCTTTGAAGCTGACCTCATCCTCGATAAGTCCTTTTCTGATCCCCCGGTTGCTAGTGCCTCCTTTCCAAAATTACCTTGCAGAGATTTTATGTCCTTCTTTGTGTACATGTTGTCTCTCCCTATAGAACACAAGCTCCTTGAAGACAAAATTTCATTTTTGTCTTTGTATCCCCCAGCAGCTAAACACAATACCTGGTACATAGTTGGTGTTTAATAAATGCTCGTTGATTGATTGAAACTGTTCCTCCAAAAACTTATTTAATAAGAAAACTGGTGTCATCACTTGTTCTTTCTCCTTCTTTAGCTCCTGATTTTTTATAAGAAGCTTCTGTAAAATTTATGTAACCAAAAACTTCTGATACTTCCAAAAGATTGCTGTATAGTAAATTCGAAGTTTTTCAGTACATGTCCATATAGTAACACTTGGTGCCTATTTAATGCATTCTATCCTAGGTTTCCAAATCCCTTCCTTCTTTAATCTGGGGAATAATACCCTCTCCATTTTACTGAAAAATGGAGGAATCGGTCACTAGAGACACCTTCCAACTCCACATCCATTGCTTGGCCATGCATAGCTCAGTGGAACTCAGATTTTGCATTATGCCAGTGACATTCTAAGCTAATAGTATTGCAACTTCCCTTTTACTTCTCTTTTAGGGACATACCTCCTGTTCTTTAGAGCATACAATAACCAGTTGAATTTTATATTTTATATTTTTTTAAATGCAAGCTATTTCAAGTTGTTGACAGTTGTAATGCTAGATATATATTCCCCTTACTAATTCCATATTTATGATTGCAGACCGTTTAGAAGGTGACCGATCAGAAGGCTCCGGTCAGGAGAATGAAAATGAAGACGAAGAATAATCAGCTTTACTCAGCAAGCACTTATCTAGATGTTCTGAAATTTGTATACAACATTTATTATATTTTTCCTTACAGAGCTTTAGCACAATATTAAGGGTTTTTTTTTATAACATAACATTTATTTGGAACGATTGTGTGCATGAATTTGGGAGAGTGTGCAAGAAAAATTAGCAAAATGTTTTTAAAACCTTTTGCCACATATGAGGGGTGCTAGAAGACACGGAGTGCAATATTTTCCCTAACCTGCAGACGAGGGAGCTTGGATCAATGTTCAAAAATAATTTTCATTATAGTGAAAATATTGGTTCAAATAAATTTCTATACCTGCTATTTGCATGTTTGTTGCTTTCTAATTAAAGGAATTGGTTGTTTAAAAATGTTCTGAATTTGACTTTTCATATTATGATTGATATTTTCCTACATTATGTTTATCCTTTTTTTTTTTTCCATTATGACAGCACAGATGGGGGAAAAATAAATCTGAGGCTAAGATCTGTTTTTCTTAAGTGTTAGTAAAGTTAAAGACCTTTAAAATTTCTGCTCCACAGATATTCTGCCCCAGCTTGGGAACTTGCTAGTAGGTGATTAGTGGTACCTCATAAAGAGAGGGCCATCATAATTTAGACATTTCTCGGGCATGAATAACTGAGAAAAACAGGGCTAGCACCCCGTGAAAGATTCATTGTTTAGACAAAAGCACAAATTCTAGTGATAAGATAAAACAACTGTTACCAACAGCTGGTACTTTAACATAAATGTTTGTCTAATTGTTATTATTTTCTCTCCCCCCACCCCCTGAAGATTGTCCTAGGCTACTTTCACTTGACTGGTTCAATTTCTGTTCCCTACTAGGTATTATTACTGGTGTTAAATACCTCATTTGTTCTCTTCTTTGCTCATTTTAAACACTGAATATTCCTCAAGTGAGTTGTAAATTCTACCAGAATAAACTATCCAGCCCTATGTCATTCACCAGCACCTACTTTGTGCCAAACACTGTGCTAAGTTCTGAGATAAGAAGAAAGGCAGGAGACAGTCCCTGCTGTCAAGGAACTCACAGAACAACATGCAAATCTGTGACTGTATACAAACAAGAAACCTACAATATAAATTGGAGATAATCAATAGAAGGAAGGCCCCCTAGCATGAAGGGGGAGGAAGGGGAAGCTTTTTTGTAGGAAATGTAGTAGAGATTAGAGCATTCCAGACATGGGTGGGTGGCAGCGGGGGAAAAGGGGGCAGCCAGTGAAAATGCATGGAAGTGAGAGATGGAGTATCTTGTTTGAGGAGCAGCAAGGAGGCCAGTGTCACTGGATCACAGAATATGTGGGAGGGTGTATGAAGAGTGGAAAGACAGAAAATGACCAGGTCGTGAAGGGTTTTTAAATCTATGTAGAGGATTTTATATTTAATCCTGGGAGTAATAGGAAGCTACCGGAGGTTATTGATGGGGGATGGCGTGGTTAGAACTTCACTTTAGGAAGATCACCTTGATAGCTGAGAGGAAGAGGGACTCTAGTACAGAGAGACTTGAGGTAGAAAGACCAATCAGAAAACCGTATGTAGTTCATACCCTCATCATAAAATGATGAGGGTCTACACCTGGGCAATGGGAATATACACAAGAGGTATTTCAAAGGCAGAGTTGACAGGGCTAGGCAGCAGATTGGATAGAGAGTGAGGGGTCTAGTATAACACCTCAGTTTCAGGCCTGGGAGACTGCAAAGATGGCACCCAACCTGACTGGTTCCACAGCTGTGCATGGGCCTTCAGTTACTTGTTAACATCCAGCTCCAAGTCTCAGCTTTTGTTCTTTCCCCTCTTTTGTTCTAGGGGCTCTGAAGTGCCATTTAAAAGAGAAATTATATAAGGGCCTTCATTTCTCAAATATATAGAAAACTGAATCAAATTTATATGAATGTAAGTTATTGCCTGATCAGTAAATGATCAGAGGATATGAATAGGCAATTTTCAGAAGAAGGTCAAAGTTATCTCTAGTCATATAGAGAAATGCAAATTAGAACAACTCTGAGGTACCACTTCACACCTATCAGATTGGCTAATATGACTGAAAAGGAAAATGACAAAAGTTGGAAGGGATATGGGAAAACTGGAACACTGATGCACTGTTGGTGGAGTTGTGAGCTGATCCAACTATTCGGAAGAGCAATTTGAAACTATCCCAAAGGGCTGTAAAACTGTACATACCCTTTGACCAAGCAATACCTCTACTAGGTCTGTATCCCAAAAAGATGAAAAAAAAAGGGAGGGTGGTAAAGTATTGGAAATTGAGGGGAGATCCATCTACTGGGGAATGGCTGAACAAATTGTGGTATATGTTGTGATGGAATACTATTGTGCTGTAAGATATGATAAGCAGAGTACTTTAAGAAAAACCTGGGAAGACTTCATATGAACTGATGCAAAATGAATTTGAGCAGGACCAGGGGAACAGTGTACACAGTAACATCAATATGATATGATAAACTCTGAATGATTTGGCTATTCTGATCAACACAAAGATCCGAGACAATTCTGAAATACAGTATAAAATGCTATCCACCTCCAGAGAAAGAACTGATGGAGTCTTTCTTCCTTATTTTCCCCCAATATGGCTAATGTGGACATAGGTTTTGCGTTATTTCACATGTATAATTAATATCGCATTTCGTGTCTTTTCGAGAGATGGGGAAGAGTGGAAGAGAAGAAGAAAATTCAAAACTAAAAAATTTTTTTTTAAATAATAAATTTTTTGAAAGTAGGGAGGGTGCCCTTTTCTTACCTAGAAAGCTATGAACCTGACTTTGAAATTTTTTTATTTTTGATAGTATTTTTTCCAATTATATGGAAAGACAATTTTTAGGATTTAGCATTTTAGCAAAATTTAGCATTCATTTTAACAAGATTTTGAATTCCAACTTTTTCTCCCTCCCTCCCCTTCGTTCTTCCTAAAATGATAAGTGCAATCATGTAAAACATTTCCATATTAGTCACAGTTGTGAAAGAAGAAATAAACCAAAAGGAAAAAAAAATAAAGTAAGTGAAAATAGTATGCTTCGGTCTGCATTCAGAGTCCATCAGTTCTTTATCTGGAAGTGGATGGCATTTTCCATCATGAGCCCTTTGTAACTGTCTTAGATCATTGTAGTGCTGAGAAGAGCTAAGTCACTCATAGTTGATTATCACACAAAACATTGCTGTTACTGTGTACAATGTTTTCCTGTGAACCTGACTTTTTAAACGAGCCAGATCCTTATTTCTGCTACATGGTTTGAAGCCAAAATAGGTGGGAGATTGACCCACTTAATAACCTTAATGTCAAATATTTATTAATTTCGAAGAGATGCAAATCTCTACTGCTAGCATCGCAATTTGATACCTGAAAAGTGGAGAACAGATCAATTGATTGTGTCAAGAACCAGGCATCAAAATACCTCCCTGTTTACATCTGAACCACCTTTCAAAGAGGAGTTCAAGCAGAAAAATGTGGACTAATACCCAGAGATAAATGACAACAGGCAACATTACCTAGAAATGAATAATGGACATTTGGTTGGCACTGATGCCAAGCGTTACATCTGCTGAATAAGAACTTTTTAAGCTTACTTTTTCAAATCTGCATGACTGACTGGAAGTAAAAATTACTTCCTTTGAACATGTTGAGTTTGAGATACCTAGGAGGCTTCCAGGTTCCTCATCTGCAAAATGAGGATGGGATTAGATGTCCGAGTGTGCGTGTAAGATGGGCTAGCTTCTCCCTGCCATACAGCAGATAGTAATAGGTTTCTAGAGAATGCAAACTCATTTCAGTGATATCCTAAAGAAAAAACAAGTTAGTTAAATCTGCTATGTACACACACAGAGCGACTTAATGCTTTCATATCAACTGCTTAATGCTCTTGGCTTTGGAAAAGAGAGGAAATGATTGGGCAGAAAAAGAATTCTAATCACTCACTACACACATACACAAACATAGATCCATATAAGTGCGTGAGAGGCTGCATGATAGAGTGTATAGAAACCTGGCTTTGCAGTCAAGAAGATGTGGGTTTAGATTCCACCTCTAGAACACTGGCAATGTGAGTCTCTGAATGTCATTTATCCTCTCACAGTGCCCTGGGCACCTCACTAAGTCTAGAAACTGCAGAGCTGGTGTAGTAGAGGGAGTTTCCTTATTGGTAATTCCCTATACTAGTGAAACCACAAGTCTAGTCCAAAACCAATATACAGACAAGCAGTGTGGCCCAGTGGATAGAGGGCTAGAAAGGCCTATTTTCAAGTCCTGCTTCTGACACTCTTGTGTGACCTCAGGGCAGTCACTTAACCTCCCAGGCAACTCAGACTTTTAATTGTGGAGCAGTCTGCATTGGTTGAGGAAGTTCCCTATACTAATAAAATTACAAGTCTGGATGGAAAGCTGTATAGTTACACATACCCACACACAATTATTTAGAGATATGTAGATATATCTCCACATACATGGTTATATTTATATGTAATTGTTCAGTTTCAGTCATATCTGACTCTTCATGAACCCATTTGGAGTTTTCTTGGCAAAAATACTGGACTGGTTTGCCATTTCGTTCTCTTAACTCATTTTCCAGATGAGGAAACTGAGGCAAAGTTAAGTGACTTGCCCAGGGTCGCACAGGTAGTAATTGCCCAAGGTCAGATTTCGAACTTAGGTCTTCCTGGCCCCAGGCCTTGCACTCTATCCACTGTGTCATCTAGCTGCCCCCATATGTCTATGTGTGTATATATACATACACACATACATGGTGCATATCTGTATATAAGCACTTATATACATAATACATTGTATATGTACATGTGTATGCACGTGTATATGTGTATTGTTTTATATATTATACATGTATAAACACTTTGCATATACCCACATATGCATATACATATATGCATATATAGCACTAACTTATATACACGTGCACATGTATACATTCACATATATGTACATCCAGATCTGTGTGTGTGCACACACATCCGGGTGACTCTGGATTCCAAGAGGCTCTATGCCCCAGAAGTAACCCCGGATTCTCCAATCAAAGCAGCCACATGGGCTGCCTCATACGCTCAGATTTGGCTTATGAATTTTATGTTCACTTACTTTATAGGTTTGGTAATGCTTCACATGAGAAGTACTAAGCCTGAAGTCTCATTTTTTTGTTTGTTTTTGATAACTAAATTAGTAACTACCTAAGTGTGATCTAACTGTTCTGTTACTCAAAGATCATGTGCAGTGATTCTTCTGCCCCCAGGTGGCCAAGAATGGAAGATAAAGCAGGAAAGCATTTCCATTATTTCCACCTAGC